ATCACCCATTGTAACTTTCCTATGAGCCGTGAGTAGTCATCAAGTGGACATGTGACAGTGTATTCCCACTGTTCCCTCACACCTTGACCTCAGAGTCATCAATTAAGTTGCCGGCAATCGCCAGTTCAACTCCCGTCTCTGAGCCACTGAGAAGTGTGCTCAAAGAAGCGAGATATATCCAAGCTTCATCCAATATTAACGCTCACAGCTCATAGCGTTAATTACGGTGATTTACCAGTTAATTTGCAATAGTTTATTTTCCTAATAAATGGAGAAAAGACCATTTGGGTTTCAAAACTTAACCCATAAACATTTATGAATGTTGCTTCCAGTTCACCTCTAATTAGTGCTACCACAGGTAACCGGAAATTGCAACAAAAGCAAAACCCTGTGACTCGCCATGTAAGAGAGCCACCCCATGACTCAACATGTAAGAGCACCACCCAGTGACTCGCCCTGTTAGAGATCAACTTTGTGACTCACCATTTTAGATCACGACCTTGTGAATCACCATGTTAGAGCATAACCCTGTGACTCACCATGTTAGACACTACCCTGTGACTCACCATGTTAGAGAACGACCTTGTGACTTACCATGCTAGAGCAACACTCAGTGACTCATTATGTTAGAGCACCACATTGTAACTCTCCATGTTAGAGCACCACCCTATGACTCACCATTTTAGAGTACTACTCCATTACTCACCAATCACCATCTTAGAGCACCGCCATGTGATTCACCATGTTGGAGCACCACCTTGTGACTCAAAGTTAGAACATCACTTTGTGACTCACCATATTAGAGCACCACAATGTCACTCACCATGTTTTAGAGCCATCTTGTGAATTACCATCTTAAATTTTTACCCTGTGACTCACCCAGTGCCGGATTAACCAAGGGGCACTTGAGGCACTGGCCTCAGGACCCCCGACTCTAAGGGGCCCCCAAATCCAAATATTCTCGAAGTTGAAGCATATAAAACATGAACTTCGTTCAACGATGTCCTAGCAACGTCTCAATTTTCTGTCTCTTATGAATATTGAATGTGTTATTTTGCAGAAGCTTAATATTGATGAAATCATTGATAAATTTTGGTATATTTTGTTCTTGCTATATATATATATATATATATATATATATATATATATATATATATATATATATATATATATATATATATATATATATATATATATATATATATATATATACCTTGAGGGTGGGGGGCCTCAAGTTGATCTGTGCCTCAAGCCCCTATTAAGCTTAATCCGGCCCTGGACTCACCATTTTACAGTACCATCCCATTACTCACCATGATAGAGCACCACTCTGTGACTCGCCATGTTAAAACCTCACCTTCTGACTCGCCATGTTAGAGTACCACCCTATGACTCACCATTATAGAGTATCACCTAGTGACTCACAATGTTAGAGTACCACCCTGTGACTCACCATACTAAAGTACCACCCTGTGACTCACCATACTAAAGTACCACCCTGTGACTCACCACTATTAAGTATCACCTTGTGACTCACAATGTTACAGTACTGTCGGGGTTCACTGCGCCATGTAGGGGTTCTGGGTACTCAGTTCTAACTACAGGAGAGAACACAAACACCTGTAGAGTTCTGTAGGTTCTATTTGATGGAAGTACAGAGGTGCGCAATCCCATCGCCGGTAGTCCCTACACTCTATATGGGTCAACTGACCTCTCTCTGACCTCTCAGGCGACGTGTGGCAAGTGGTACATTAGCAGCTTCCAGATGTCGCCAGGCACATTATCTAAGCGTGTGGTGACATGAAAAAGGGGCATTGCCACACGCTACTGACTAGATAAGTAATGTATATAAATGGAGTACATTCATAGTATACATACAACATACATAATATACATACAAGTACCACCTTATGACTCGCCATGTTAGAGCACCACCCTGTGACTAAACATGTTAGAGTAATATCCTGTGTCTCATCATTTTAGAGCATCACCTTCTGACTCACCATGTTAGAGTACCAGCCTGTGACTCCCCATTGTAGAGCACCACCCTGTGACTCACCATCTTAGAGCACCACCCAGTGAGAAACCATATGAGACAACCACCCTGTGACTCATCATTTTAGAGTACCACCCAGTGACTCACCATGTTAGAGTAGCACCCTGTAACTCACCATGTTAGAACACCATCCTGTTACTCATCATGGTAGAGCACCACCTTGTGACTTACCATGTTAGAGCACCACCCTGTAATTAACCATGTTAGAGTACCACCCTGTGACTCACCATGTTAGAGCACCACCCTGTGACTCACCATGTTAGAGCACCACCCTGTAACTCACCATGTTAGAGCACCATCGTGTTACTCACCATGTTAGAGCACCACCCTCTAATTAACCATGTTAGAGTACCACCCTGTGACTCACCATGTTAGAGCATCACCCTGTAATTAACCATGTTAGAGTACAACCCTGTGACTCACCATGTTAGAGTACCACCCTGTGACTCACCATGTTAGAGCATCACCCTGTAATTAACCATGTTAGAGTACCACCCTGTGACTCACCATGTTAGAGCACCACCCTGTGACTCACCATGTTAGAGCACCACCCTGTAACTCACCATGTTAGAGCACCATCCTGTTACTCACCATGTTAGAGCACCACCCTGTGACTCACCATGTTAGAGCACCATCCTGTAACTCACCATGTTAGAGCACCATCCTGTAACTCACCATGTTAGAGCACCATCCTGTTACTCACCATGTTAGAGCACCACCCTGTGACTCACCATGTTAGAGCACCATCCTGTATCTCACCATGTTAGAGTACCACCCTGTGACTCACCATGTTAAAGCACCACCCAGTAATTCACCATGTTAAAGCACAACCTCTTGACTCACTATATAAGAGACAACCTTTTGACTCACTATGTTAGAGCACCACCCTGTGACTCACTGTGTTAGAGTAACCATCTTGTGACTCACCATGTTAGAGCACCACCTTGTGACTCGCCATGTTAGAGCACCACCTTGTGACTCACTATATAAGAGACAACCTTTTGACTCACTATGTTAGACCACCACCCTGTGACTCACTGTGTTAGAGTAACCATCTTGTGACTCACCATGTTAGAGCACCACCTTGTGACTCGCCATGTTAGAGCACCACCTTGACTGACTCACTGTGTTAGAGTAACCATCTTGTGACTCACCATGTTAGAGCACCACCTTGTGACTCGCCATGTTAGAGCACCACCTTGTGACTCACTATATAAGAGACAACCTTTTGACTCACTATGTTAGACCACCACCCTGTGACTCACTGTGTTAGAGTAACCATCTTGTGACTCACTATGTTAGAGCACCACCTTGTAACTCACTATATAAGAGACAACGTTTTGACTCACCATGTTAGAGCACCACCTTGTGACTCACTATGTTAGGGTAACCATCTTGTGACTCAACATTTTGGAGCACCACTTTTTGACTCACCAAATTAGAGCACCACCGTGTGACTCACTATGTTAGAGTACAAGCCCCTGACTCACCATGTATTGCTCCACTGTGTGACTCACCATGTTAGAGTACCACCCTGTGACTCACCATGTTGAGCACCACCCTGTGACTCAGCATGTTAGAGCTCACCCTGTGACTCACCATGCTAGAGCACCACCCTGTAATTAACCATGTTAGAGCGCCACTCTGTGACTCACTATGTTAGAGTACCACCCTGTGGCTCACCATGTTAGAGCACCACCCTGTGACTCACCATGTTAGAGCACCTCCCTGTAATTAACCATGTTAGAGCACCACCCTGTGACTCACCATGTTAGAGCACCACCCTGTGACTCACTATGTGAGATTACCACCCTGTGACTCTCCATGTTAGAGCACCACCCTGTAATTAACCATGTTAGAACACCACCCTGTGACTCACCATGTTAGAGCACCACCCTGTGACTCACTATGTTAGAGCACCACCCTGTGACTCACCATGTTAGAGCACCACCCTGTGACTCACTATGTTAGAGCACCATCCTGTGACTCACTATGTTAGAGCACCACCCTGTGACTCACTATGTTAGAGCACCACCCTGTAATTAACCATGTTAGACACCATCCTGTGACTCACCATGTTAAAAGCACCACCCTGTGACTCACTATGTTAGAGCACCACCCTGTACTCATGTTGAGCACCAACCATGTTAGAGCACCATCCTGTGACTCACCATGTTAGAGCACCACCCTGTGACTCACTATGTTAGATTACCACCCTGTGACTCACCATGTTAGAGCACCACCCTGTGACTCACTATGTTAGAGCACCACCCTGTAATTAACCATGTTAGAGCACCATCCTGTGACTCACCATGTTAGAGCACCACCCTGTGACTCACTATGTTAGAGCACCACCCTGTGACTCACTATGTTAGAGCACCACCCTGTGACTCACTATGTTAGAGCACCACCCTGTAATTAACCATGTTAGAGCACCATCCTGTGACTCACCATGTTGGAGCACCACCCTGTAATTAACCATGTTAGAGTACCACCCTGTGACTCACCATGTTAGAGCATCACCCTGTGACTCAATATGTTAGAGCACCACCATTTGACTCACTATTTAAGAGCACTACCCTGTGACTCACTCTGCTAGAGCATCACCTTGCGACTCACCGTGTTCGTGTACCACCCTGTGAATCACAATGCTAGCGTATCACCCTGTGACTTACCATGTTAGAGTAACACCCGTTGATTCAACATGTTAGATCATAACTTTGTGTATCACCATGTTAAAGCATCACCTTGTGACTCACTATGTTAGAGCACCACTCTGTGACTCGCCATGTTAGGGCACCACCCTGTGACTCACCATTTTAGAGCACCACCCTGTGACTCGCCATTTTAGAGTACCACTTTGTGACTCACCATGTTCGAGTACCACTTTTTAACTCATCATGGTAAAGGACCGTAAATGGAGGTAATAAATCCATGCAGCCAGTTGTTGGCCAACTCTTTATTAATTTTGATAAAAAATGATATTATGTACAGATCAAAGTTAGTTTTACAGAATATACATGATGCCAGCTTAAACGAGGCAGAGAGCCTACAGTATAGGAGCACCATTGAACACATGCTCAGTTTCCCAACAATATTACATCCCTCACTCTTAAAGCAACAGGCTTGCATCCTTATTGTTGTTTGGGTTAGATTATGAATTATTAATAATCAAACTTCGTGAATCTATAACTGCAGAAAATTCCTACTTTTGTATCAAATATAAATCGTCTATGATATCTATGTTGAATTGGAAAAGTGAAAGGCAACTTTATAACAGTAAGTTTGGTTGAAGTATTGAGGTGGACTGAGCCAGTAAAGTACATCTTCAATGTTCATATTACCATTATCCTCAACCACAGTAACAACAATAAAATAACACAAAAACCATGAGGGTTTGGCAGTGATGAATGTTTAAACTTAAGTGTATCCACAAAATTTGTTGTATTCACACACTTCACTGTATACAAAGCATTGTGTAACTTCTTGATATGTTTACTTGGTTTACTGAGCTGTTTTATAAGCACATATTAAAGTATCACTTTGTTCGCTAGAACAAAAATAACATTTTCATTCAAATTAATGATGAACACACAGTGAGACGTGAAACAGAAAAGGAAACTTTATAACCTAAACTAAATATAAGTTTGAGAGACGGTTCAATATTTCCAAATTATATTAGTTTATATTTTATGGCAAGAGTAAAGCTGGCAATAAGACAAGTGTAGGAGGAGGGTACAGATAGTTCATTGACAGCAACAAACAACTGTGAGCTTAGGTCATGTGGCCTCAGGGTCTTGAAGTCGTGGGTGTTACCTCAAGTGCTGATGATCACGGCCCCTTTGTATTACCTTGGGATGCAGCTGCCTGGTACGCCAAGGCAGGGTTACAGTACTCACAGTGGCCTGGGGGACCCTGAGGCCCTGGAGCACCTCTGCCACCCTGGGGCCCATTGAGACCAGGGGATCCACGCTCACCTATCCTCCCGGGAAGACCCACTCCTGGGGGTCCAGGTGGTCCTGTAAAATAATAATAATAATAATAATATTAATAATAATAATGTTTGCTGCATTCTTAAATTCCTTTTCTTTAAATGACATGAAAAAATTGTGCTGTGTGCGTTTGTAACTAACATTTAGCATTTAACATTCAGCATTTACCTCGAGAAGGACAAGTTAATCAATGATTCCCAATATGGCTTCACACGTGGGCTTTCACGTCTGATAAATCTATTAACATTTTTTTCAAGGGATTTCTATTCAGTAGATGACGGGCATGATTATGATGTGGTATACCCATGAAAGACTAATTCGAAAAGTGGAGGCCCATGGAATTCGAGGAGATATTCTAAAAGGGATAAGGGCGTGGTTACAAGAAAGGAAACAGCGAGTAAACGTTAAAGGCACAAAATCCGATTAGGGTAATTTCAATAGTGGAGTACCCCGAGGACGCAGTACTTGGACCATTGCTATTTATTATATAAATAAACGACGTAGATATAGGCGTAGACAGCAACATAAGTAAATTTGATGACGACACTTTAATTTTATCCTCGTCGCCACTGATTGGCTCCTGAATATATCGGAACCTGCTCCAGTGTTGGTCAAGTCTGGCCTTGAATGAGTTCACACTCGGTGCCGTCGCAACACTCTCTGGCCGATTGCTCCAAGAGTTCACAATTCTCACTCCAAAAAAGTTTGCCCTCTCAGTTTTCTGGACTTATGGCTTCGTCAACCTTAAGTTGTGACCACTTGTTTGGCGGACGTCCGCCAGCTCCAGGTATGTACCATCGACCAATTAGTGCCCTTTGAGATGATTATGCACTGTGGTATAAGCTCGGCAGTTGCAGGCGTTCTAATCTCTCTCGGTAGCTGAGGTTCGGTAGAGCAGGCACTAGTCTGGTGCTCCCTCCTTTGGACAATTTCAATCAATTGACAGTCTAGCATACTCCAGACGGGGAAGCACCTCACTCTTGAAAATCGTAACGAGGGACGGACCTTCCAGATCTCTAAATGACCTTCTTATAAGACCTATTAGTTTCTTTCTCTGAGTCACCTTCTCACAATGGCCCAAGAATTTAAGTTCATTGTCGACATACACACCCAGGTCCTTTTCACATTCGGTCTCAATTAATACAGTTTCTTCGTCCTGTTCGGACATGTGATACACCTCCTTACTGTTGATGCGACCCAGGTGCATCCTCTTGCACTTCGTGGCATTGAATCTTAGCAGCCATTTCTTCGACCATTCTTGAAGCTCATAGAGATCTTTCTGTAGTTCTTCACAAGTCTGTTTGGTTCTTAATTTTCCTAAATAACTTAGCATCGTCCGCAAACTTTTGTATGGAGGAGTGTATAGCTTCTGGCATATCATTTATGAAACAAACAAACAACAACGGGCCCAATACACTGCCCTGTGGTACCCCGCTTGTTAAAGGTACACATGACGATTTCGTACCATTTATTACCACATACTGTTTGCGGTCATGCAGAAAGTTTCCAATCCACTCTGGGACATTTCCCCGAATCCCGTACCCTTCCAATTTAATTCTTAGCCTTTTATGGGTACGCTGTCGAAAGCCTTGGCAAAATCTAGGTATACATTACCGTTATTTCCGCCTTGTTCTAGAATGCGAGTCCAAACACCCAGGACCTTGAGTAATTGTGTCAAGTAGGATCGTCCCGGTATAAAACCGCGTTGGCTGTCCTTTACAAGGTTGTTTCGGAGTAGATGTTTCATCATGGCATCTCATATGATACTCTCTAACATTTTACAAATTATGCTGGTCAGGCTCACTGATCTATAATTATTCGTGGAGTGACTATCGCCCTTCTTGAATATAGGATTAACATAAACCATTTTCCAGTCATTGGTGACCTTTTGCTCATCCAGGCATTTGCAGAACAGGATCTTAACACAGTGTGGGTTAGCACTGTGTCAAACCATCTTTCCTCATATGGAGGAAGATTGTTCACATCCTCTCTTGTGAACACCGAGGAAAAGAATTTGTTCAACGCCTCCGCTTATCCTGGCCAGACTCTGCATAACTACCATCTTCAGGCCACAGGTCAGATATACCTACTCGCGTTTTTAATTTCGATTTTGCGTAGCGCTAAAAAGTCTTTGGGTTTGACTTGACCTCACTTGCAATTTGCCTCTGGAACTCGTTTTCAGCAGTTCTACACTCTGACTTTGCTTGGTTCCTGGATCTGGCATACACCCTCCTGTCCTGTTTATGAGTTTTCTTCTTAAATTTGCCGACCGCCGCATGGTTCATGTGTAGTGGTTTCTTTGTATTCCTGGCGCACTGGGTTTGGTCTTGGGTATATATTTATCGATCGAATGGCTAACTTTACTGGTTATGATATTCAGCATAGCGTCTGCGTTCTTATTCGTTAGTAAGTTAGGCCAGTGTATATTCCCCATCTCCCCCTCTCATCCCGTCGCAATTTCCTTTGTAATATTTGAACCTGGACCTGCTATTTTCATAAACCAAGTAACAGTTAAATCTGAAGGTCAACGTTACGTGGTGGCTGATGCCAACGGGGGCTAGGTGTTCCAGATTGGCCATCATATCCTTCTCGTTAGTTATGATGAGGTCCAGCGGTTTGGGTGATTGTTCCCCTTTGCAGTGTCGGATCTTGAACAAGTTGGAATAGAAAATTGTTTCTCTAGAGTTTCTACGAAAAGAGTGGCAGGATTATTTAGGTCGTTTGGCGTGGATTCATTTTTCCAGTCGATGTTGCCATAATTAAAGTCCCCCATGACAAGGAGGTGGCTTGGGTTTAGCACCGTTACACTGTCAATTAAGGCTCTTAAGTTCTTTGGTTTAATACGCTACAGTTTGGGGATCTGTAGATTCATTTTACACCACTTTGTTTCTTGGAAAACATCTCCCCGCACCCTCACTTTGCTGGCTCTAAGGGCTTGACTAGCATAGATAACCACACCCCTCTTGCAAGTTTTTTCGGAAAGGTTCGTAAATGAGTCATATCTATCTACAGTATATTAAACTCACATTCCTCCGGTTCGATTCTCCTGTTTTTGTACAACAGTTCTGCAACACCTACTATATCTTGGTTGATGTACTTCCAGTAGTGTTTCAAACTCCTTTCTCTTGTCAAGTAACGTGTCATTATTAGTGCATATGAGTTTTAAGCCGGAAATTGTCCTCGGCAATGTCTCTGGTCTTGGTATTAACTCCAGTCCCCCTCAAATCTCTGCAGTTGCCTCGTTTACTGTATCCCTTGTATTTTGTGGGGTGTGGTCAGAGATAACATTGTTTACATGGCACTCGCCTCCTCCTGGGTGGGAGGTAAAATAGGGCGTGTAGTTAAATCTGACGAAGACTCCGCAAAACTACAGGACGATCTAAAAAAAACAGCATGGTCTGAAAATGACAGTTGAAATTTAATGTAGACAAACGTAAAGTACTTAGTTGAGGAGATGTAGACAGAGAAACCAGATATAAGATGAACAACGTTGTTATAGAGAAATCCGACTGTGAGAAAGATTTAGGAGTAATGATAAGTAGGAATCTTAAACCAAGACAATCATGCGTATTTGCTCGAAACAAGGTAAACAAAGTATTTGGGCTCATGCAAAGGAATATTAGTTCCAAGACTAGCGAGGTTATCCTAAAACTATATATTGCGCTTGTGAGACCTCACTTGGATTACGTAGTTCAGTTCTGGTCACCGTACTACAGAATGGAGATAAAAACATCTAGAAAGCATTCAGAGGAGGAAACAAGATCAATCCCGGGCATTAGGAACCTTGAGTACAGAGACAGGCTAAAGCATCTAAAATTACACTGCCTCGAGAAACGTAGAGTGAAGGGCGATATGATCGAGATGTTTACATGGAAGTCAGGGTTAAACGTAGGTTATATATAACAAAGGCACTTAAACTATTCAATCATGAGCAAACTCGTAGAAATGGTTTTAAATTAGATAAATTTAGATTTTTGGTGCGAGATAGGTAAACACTAACTTGGAAAAGATTAGTGGATGAGTGGAACAAGTTACACGCTGGGTAGCTTTAAATATAGGTTGGACGGATATATGAGCAACAGCGGATGGATATAAACGGGGCTGCCTAGTATGTGCCAATAGGCCCGCTCCAGTTTCCTCCATTTTTATGTTCTTACGTTTTTATGTACACTCGCAGCTCAAAGATTTGGCTTAATTCTGAAAATAATATGAACATGGCGGTGCAATACTTATGTGTTACCATGCATATTCCCCTGCGTAATGGACAATGATATAAAAAGATAATTGTATAAGTAAGCTCAACTATTCTAGTACCGCGTTCTTGAAAGAGTATTTCCTTCGCAGGGAACAAAGTTAATCATGATCATTTACCTATAATTTGTTCTTTCCACTTAAATAGTATGGAAATTATCAACTTATTGCAAACATTAAAGATGAAGCGCACCGATCTGCCTACTGAACAAAATGATAATGATTACTTTTCTGTTTAGGTCTACTGTATATTACCATGAAACTTATTGCGAGCAGAAATTAAGGTAATACAATTTTCATTGCTTGATATTAAAAGATTCTTAGATATCTTAGCTCAGATATACAGGCTGCGTCATGTTTAAAAAACAATGGTGTTGTGATATTCCTCTTATTTCATCAGAGTTTCCTTTATATATCAATATAAATTTCAAAGATTTTAACGGGAAATCACGCATTTCACCCAAAACGACCATTGCGCTTTCCATATACAGTATGTTATAATTAATATGATGTACAATATGGGCTGCATTACAAGTGCATCTATTCTCAACTAACTGTTATAATAGTCAGCTAATACGAGATTATAATAATTATTTTGTCCATATATGGTCTGGATTATATATGACTTCATCAGTTCGATGGTGAAACGTACTTCAAGAAGCAGATGCAGACAAATAACAAGTACAAGTCAAGTCTAATGTCAATATTACAGTAAGTTCGCTATAGATGCAATTAAATACAACTAAACAGCGCTACAGATACAGTTAACTACAGTT